TTTTTGCAGAACTGATGGACCTTTATTTCAATACAAAGCTCCAGAGGATCACAGGGGTTGAAAAAGTAAACCCGCAAACCCACAAACAATATAACTCCACTCTTTACATGTGCATGTTTCACTAGTGAATGAGGGAGTGACGAGGGACTCATTGCCTTGAATAGAGACATCAAGTCTCTGCCACAAAACTTCCGGTAGAAGGATTTTTAGCTAGCATAGCTAAGCTAGCTTTCTGTTTAGTCTTTATGCCAAGTTCAGCTAAAACATAAGTGCAGTGACCTATAAAATCAGTCTTTTTCAAAAAATGTGAAAGTATTTATAGGTACTACTATTACTGATACTACTACAACTTTAAGATCACTACACATGTTAATTAAACATAGATATTTATATTTCTCACTATTGTTTACTGGAGAGATGAGTCCAAATAACTGCAATAATGTCTGGGGAGATATTATTATCATACTGTATCTGTAGGTAGGAACTTGGTTCACTATAAAAAAAATTTTATCATAACTCGCTGAATTTTCAACTCACTAGTAAATGGTTTGACTAGTTACAAATGCCGGGCACAGTATGATTATTTCTTCCCATTTATACAACAATTTCCAGTATATACTATTTAGGGAGTTTGTAAAAACTGTGGTTAACAGCTGTGCATTTACCAGTTCAATATCCAACATTATGCAAAACTAAATATGAATAATAAATGTAACACTTTCTTTTTTTGAAAACTGTAACCAGCAGAAATTTTAAGAGACTCTCTAAAGTGCATGGACAGATTGATGATATTTGTAATTAATTTGTTTCATCAGGTCTCTTTGGCTTCTATGATGACAAAGACAATAAGTTATCTATCCTGAGCATGCCTCTATCTCATAAGAAGTCCACTGTGGTATTCATCATGCCCTACCATCTGGAACCTTTGGATAGACTGGAAAAGATGCTGACCAAGAAGCAGGTGGATAAATGGATTGGTTTGCTACAGGAGACAGCTATAGCTGTGTCTCTGCCCAAAGTCAGCATGGAAGTCAGTCACGATCTGCAGGTAAACAATTTAAGAGTTTGTGCCTTACCACAGAACACTCTTTTACATTGTCACTATAAACATTTCATGTTACTCCTCAGAAACACCTCCAGGAGCTGGGCCTGACCGAGGCTGTGGACAAATCTAAAGCTGACTTTTCCAACATCTCTGGGAAGAAGGACCTCTACTTGTCAAGTGTGTTCCACGCCTCTGCTTTGGAATGGGACACTGATGGAAATGAAATTGATCTGAGCATCTTTGGCACAGACAAGCTGAAAAACCCTAAACTGTTCTACGCTGACCACCCCTTTATTTTCCTAGTAAAGGACCAGAAAACAAGCTCCATCTTGTTCATTGGCAGGATGGTCCGACCAAAGGGTGAAAAGATGAGAGATGAACTGTAACCATGTGAGTAAGTTAGATGTTTGGCTGTTATCATGAGTGTAGATTTTATACTGCAGCATGTTGAGAAATGAAGAGTACATCTGATACTGTGTAAGAGCACTCTTTTATGTCACATGGCAACAACATTCCATAATACACAACTTAAGTCCAGCAAGTTCATTGTAATACATTGTAACTGTACTTTTCCTTTGAAGGGAAAAGGTTCACTTGCTGTTGTCAGCGGTGTTCAGAGTTACTGTATGGTGCTACAGTTGATCCAAAGTTGGCTCAAAGTGAACAGTAATTACAAGACTTACTTTGTCTTGTAATTACTGTATGAGGCGATGTGCACATCTTTGAATTTGGGACAGTTGTTAATATTTCAGTGTGTGTGTTTGTTTGTATGTTGGCATGTCACATTATGGACTGAATACTTACATTAAGAATGACATATTAAAGTTTTTGTTAAAGCACACTTTGTTTTAATAAAGTAGCAGTAACATCAGAATTTGTGCACGAAAAAGCTTTCTGGTGTCATTAAGTCTTAAAAAATTATGTAAAATGTGCACATCCTACAAGCTTCCTTACCTTTTTGTGTCCACTTGTCTTTGTTTGGAGTCACCCTGAATGCAGTTCAATTTGTGCGCACATGGTTTAGCAATGCAAAATATGATTGAGCTGTTTTAAATGTCCGGTTTTTGCAATAAAAGTATAAAAAAAAAGGAACTAGCAGGTTTTATCCTTATTTTGGGATGCTGCCCTTTACTTTGTGACCTAAATAACGTCTGGTTTGCTTGTCAAGAGTAGGAATTTGGCCTTAGGCGAGCAGAGTTTTAGTAGGATATAACAACTGGAAGATTCCATTGGAGGTGATCATATAGCCTTTTGGACAGCTCTACCTTCAAAGGGGACGAGACCTGGCCTCTGAATGCACAAACGTAGGATATTTAGACCTCAACTAAATATTTGACAAAATATTCTGGTATAAACACGTTATTGCTGCAGCTGCTCCGGGACAGGGTTATCGTCATATCAGCAATTTCCTAATAACAACTGCTCCGAAACATAAAATTAATGGATGATCCATCATTTGATTTGCTAGAAAACCGGTTAGGTAAGTGAGTAGGGCCTAAGAAAGCATGCATGAATCAATACTAAAGATAAACACTGTCATTGTCAACAGCTCAGCACAGCTCAACACACCACCTAAAGGCCATCTGTATTTATGACACATGCACAAGGAAAAATAACAATTAGACAAAAGACATGTATTTCCTTTCTGTTGCAGTGTGTGCCTGCCATTTTTAATATAGTGAACACAGTTCTTTAACATGAATTGCACTGTAGCTTACTTAAAGTCAATAGCTCTGCCTTTCATATAGAAACAAACAGCTATGTAGAGATTTATATAACAGTGGAAGTATCAGTCCCCCACCCCGCCTATTGTTTTATCGTCACTGTGCACACTGTTTACATTGTGTTACTGATTTGTTAAGACTGTTCAGTGGTTCCTCTTTGCTTGAACTGTGTGACACATTTCTGTCTAATTGTTGCTGACGTAGTAATAACGTCTTGATACTGTTTATTGTTGCTATGACTTAACATAGTCCACACTTTAATGTGTACGGGAAGAGAACAGCCCACCATGCCAACACTAACCTCTTTTTGGTAGTAGAATGATGGAATTGTGTATATTTATGGAGTGAACCAGCAATAACATTTTGCCATTGCAATATTTTTTAGGTTACAAGTTTAAAAAGTACTATGATGTTTACATATTTACAAAGAAAATATATAATATATACGAAATGTGCACTTATACGTTACATGAAACCTTTGTTTTTAATACCTTCAGGGTGTGCTTTCACTTTTGTGTATTTGTAGCGTGTATTTTCGTGTGTTTTTTTTTAGCAGGAGCTCAACTGGCTCTCGCTATCGCTCTCTCCATCGCGCGTGGAGGAGGGCTCGCGGAGCGCTCGTGCACTATGATGGGACTACAAATCCGTTAGCGCCTACAGCCTCCTCCTCTTTCATCATGGCTCCCTCGATAGACAGGCAAGGATACTGGGGGCGGCCGACCTCAACACTGGACTGGTGTGAGGAAAATTATGTCGTGTCCTTTTACATCGCGGAATTCTGTAAGTAAAAATCTGCCCGCGCCATCATTTACTCTAAAAACGGTGAATTTGGAGGTTCGTTTAATGAGGCTTTAGACTGGGAGAGTCGTAGTACTTCGCCCCTCTAAGGTAAACATAGGAAGAACTGGTGTAACTGTAATTTAGTGCATATATATTATTGTGTTATCTCGGCTAATAACACGATTTTCTCCGTGTAGTGTAAACGTTAATCTGCACGGCGTTTGCTCTACCGGAGCTGTAAGTAAATGAGGAACAAGATACGCTGTTTACAGCGCATATATTATCAACCTGTTCTGTGCATCGTAACGCTAGCCAGCACTCGCTACACGTATCGAACAACCTTTAAACCTGTATGCAAAGCAGCTCAGCACAAACGGCTCACTTCATATTATTCCACGTTGCCAGCCATTTGTGTTACAAGTCCGCTGTTCAACGTGTTCTTCCTGTAAGACAGTGCGTTAGTGAGTCACGGACACCACTGGAAACTTGATAAAACATTCCCTTCACATTATCAGGGCGCCTCTCTGCCTTGTCCACCGATAAAAACCTGTCCCTCTGGAACCGTAATCTTAGATTAAACCGCTGTTTCCATCAGTCTTATCAAAAAGCTGTTGTATCAGCAGAAATGACAGGACAAAGACTTGAACTTTCATTAAGGAGACAGTAAAACTCTTTGAAATAATTTACTCTGGACAAACAAAAGCGAACAGAAGAATGACCCATTCCTGTGCAGCAAACAAAAATGTTTACCCAGCCTATTAATAGTTCATGGCGACAGTTTGTAACATAAAGTGATACAAATGACTGTCGTCATGTGTGACAGTGCAGAATCCATGTGTCCAGCAAGTTCATTGTAATACATTGTAACTGTTACAGTACTTTTCCTTTGAAGGGAAAAGGTTCACTTGCTGTTGTCAGCGGTGTTCAGAGTTACTGTATGGTGCAACAGTTGATCCAAAGTTGGCTCAAAGTGAACTTAAGCCTTGCAGTTTGGACTCCTTTGTCATCTGTCTACACACATCTGCCTAGCTGCAGGTTTTCTGCTATAGTTTTGTGTGTCCTTTATAGTAGACTGCACTTCTGGTATGGGTAGTTTTTATCAGTAACCAAAATCTGCATATTTTGGTGGCTTTAATCAGAAATCTGCAGATAAAGGCATGCTGGTTTCTGGAGATCCTAGTAAGTTAGTTTTCAAACAATGCAATGTCCTGATAAGTCTGATTGTTTTCCACGCCTCAGTGCATACATAGCCACACCCAGAAAGTGCAAGGTTGTGTTCAGAGTTGAGCTCTGTTTTGTCAGGTTCCCTGTGGACTAGATCAGCGGTCCCCAACCCCCGGGCCTCGGGCCGGTACCGGTCCGTGAGTTGTTTGGTACCGGTCCGCGAGAGTTGAGGCTCGAAATGTATGGTTTTCAGGGTTTTTATCGGTTTTCAGCGTTATTTTGTTATCGTTTTGATCGTTAACTCGGTTTTCCTGGGTCTTTTCACGTGTGTTATGAATAAATCTTCTTTTTTTTTGGTACAGGTACTAGTCTTATTTTGTTGTATTTATCCGCGACACCTTAAAGGCCGGTCCATGAAAATATTGTCGGGCATAAACAGGTCCATGGCGCAAAAAAGGTTGGAAACCGCTGCAATTAGTTTTCAAACAATGCAATGTCCTGCTAAGTCTGATTGTTTTCCACACCTCAGTGCATACATAGCCACACCCAGAAAGTGCAAGGTTGTGTTCAGAGTTGAGCTCTGTTTTGTCAGCTTCCCTGTGGACTAGATGATGTGCAAGCAGTGCTCCATGCACACGTTAATGACCTATGGGGGGAGGGAGGTTCTCTGACTGAACAGTGACGCCGGTTCAGTCAGAGGACACATTTGTATATCAAGCGTAGTTTTGCTCGGCGTAATTGGTTGAATCATTTGAATCAGAACTGACCACTACAACCCTACTACAGATCGCCCTCATCTGTCTGTGCCACACTGTAAAACATAGTGGGGGAAAAACAGCCTATAAAATTAGGATCTAAAACACAAGATTGTAACATGCTGTGTGAAAAATGTGATTTCAGGATTGAGTGTGTCATATTAATTTGTCAGTAAAGGGGTCAGGTAGTTTCAGTTTTGACTAGCTAAGAAGCAAAAACCCAGATCAGTCTAAATTCAAACTATATGCATATTTGTACAGTTTAAATAAACGAATCCTAGTGCTGTTGCTTCTATATCGTATAATAGAGATTTTATAGCTGTGCAGCCTTTGGATTTTATGCTGCAACCATGGTAATGCGATACCATGCATAACACTCGTTGCGGCCATGTCACGTTTTCTCTGAGCTTTTCAGAGATGTGCAGTTATCTTAAAGGTCATGTCATCCGACTTTCATTTATCTACGCTGTCTTTGCTGACAGGGAACACTGTCAGCAACCTGATCATGATTCTCCCTCCCATTTACGGGGCCATCCAGACATTCCGTGACGGCCGCGAGTCCCGCTACATCTGCTCTTTTCTCGGACTGGCAGGTTGGTGCACTGGCTCTGCATTGATGCTGTGATTGTTGCGAGAACGTGCTTGTGACAGTTATTGAGAGCAGTGGCTCAGTATTTACAGCAAACGCCTCCGGCCGAATGTCCTAACTTTGAATTTTTGTGTCTTGCGTGTACTCTTCCCCCCCACCCAAGCTGTTGGTGTTGGTTCCTGGTGCTTCCACATGACGCTGCTGTATGAGATGCAGGTGGGCTGCAAATCTGAACATGTCAGCAAAAGCGGGCATAAACTGAACTCATGAGCATTTGCTACTTGACCAAATGCTTGCGTGTACAGTGATGTAGTAATGCGTGTTTCTTTTCTTTTCTGTCTCGTCATTTGCAGTTACTGGATGAGTTGCCTATGATTTACAGTACCTGCGTTTTTGTCTACTGTATGTAAGTGCCTTCATCTTTTTGGATCAGTTGTTGCAGCACTCACCTGAGAACAAATCCAGTATCACTGTAAAATGAACCAGTGAATCCTTTACTACGGAGCCCCGCAGGGGACATGGGAGAAAAAAAAATTAAGACGGACTTTTGCGAGATCTCACAAAAGTTGAATTCCAACAATGGCAGCAGCTACTAAGTTGTAATATTACTCTTTCTGGGTCACAAAATACACTTTTAAGATATTTTGAGGCGTGAATGTAGTTGTGTAAACATCAGATACCTGCTCGGTTTACAAGACGTCACATATTTGCAAAAGTGCTCCGACGTTTTCGGAGATCTGACACCCACTAGCTCGAAGCTAACGGGAGGTCGAGACCTACTACAGCCGGGAGGAACACCGCTTTCCCGGCACATCGTGCCTCGACCTCCCGGTCGGCTTCGAGCTGGCGGCCTCCGAAGAAT